AAGACCATTAAAATTATGTGTCTGGCTCCAGTATACTTGCAACGACTTATGCATTAATGGCAGCAACTCATGACAATATAGTCAAGGAAACCTACAGGAACCTCTGGTGGTTTGAAGGTGTTAATTTTCCTGAACCAAAACGAACACTTATATTGTTGTTTTACCAGCAACTTGTGCTTGTCAAGCTCTCTCCTTGGTAGAATTATGCCCCTGCCTCTTCCTTCTTTTTTTTTTTTTCTCTTCTGCTATTTTGGGCCAGTCCTGCCAGAGGTAGCAGTCATGCAAGTGCTACTGGGTGTCTTTATGATCACAGGACTGTGCTTTGGGTAAATTTAGGTCTCAGTTTCTCTGAGGATAAAACAATTTTTTTTCCAGATTGACTTCCCATGAATCCCTATCACTCCCTCTGGCTTACAATACATAAGTTTACCTTACACAGATTGTCTTAGCTAATACTATTCACAGAAAGGATTGCTTGAGGAACCCTGTCTTATATTTGGCTCAATCCTCTTATTTTATAGGAAAGATAAGCTGGTCTATTTAACGTGCATGTGTAGTCTACAGCAGAAATCTCGTGACTACAGAAGAGAGGAGCAGTCCATCCCATTCATATATGTGTTCCTTAGTAGCAGACACTGAATATTTACCGTGAGTCAGACAAGTTACTCAGCTCTTCATTCACAGCCAGCTGGTTATAGTTCCTGCTTCCAAGCCCTAGTGTCCTCCAGTTCCCAGCCATGTCAGTCCACAGTTTAAAAACATGGAACGCTGGCAGGGCCTTACCTCCTCTTCCTCATCCTCCTGCCCAGCATGCATGAAGTCCTGCCTTTGATCCCTATTGCTACACAGGCTGTAGTGGTGGAGATGGAGACAGCATCAGGAGTTCAGGGTCATCACTGGCTACATAATTAGAGCCCAGCCTGGATTACCTGAGAGACTCTGTTTGCAAACCGAGAAAAGGGCATGATGGAAGGTGAGCTGAAATTCAGTTTGAAAATTTCCATTGGGAAGAATTCTCCTTTACCCAGAACAGGTTCTGGTAGTTAATTTGCCTGGGCTTCTGTTCTCTTATCTATTCTTCCCCAGTCTCCTTTTTCTCCGGACCTGAATAATTGCTTGTGTTCTCCAACTTCCCCTTTCTTGTCTGTCTTTAAAGATAAGCACAGAAACCCTCTGTATCTATAAGTAATTATCTGCTAATAGTAATGGGGAAAGTGGGAGAGGAAAGATAAAAATAATGCCTGTGGGGTAGTCACAAGGCTTCTGGGATGGTGCCTTTGAGTATTGGCAAAGGGTAAGCACTTAGAAGCTGCCCAAAGAAGAGGACAAGGTGAACTCCATTATCTGAAGACAGCCCACTGGATCTCTGGAGACTAAACAGAAATTAATTCTCTGCCTTAAAAATACTTTCCTACATGAGAGTATGAGTAGTAGACCCCTAAGAAGTCTTCCCCTACAAGCTTAGGGGCAACTTCTTCGGAAGCCATGAGTGAATAGGTATGCACTGGTAGTACAATGTCTTCGGAGTATTTTCATCATCATTAGCGGTAGCCGACTTGCTGCAAGTAGACCCGAACTAGTTCATGAAATGCAATCAGCAAGTGCCCATGCCACCCTCTTCCTTCCCATGCTGTCATCTAGACAGCCAAAGCCTTGGTGGGGCACACTTAGTCCATAGAGGGTAGCTGTTTTTGGTCTTCAATGCTGACTGATACCTCCAGCCATTTCCTGGTTTTCAAGGACTCCCTCTAGACAGGCCTTGGTTTCCCCCCACCCCTGCAAAAGGGACATTTACACCAAAAACCCCTGAAGCCAGCTGCTTCTCCCTCTTCTTTTTTCTTTTGCCTCAACCCCTTTCCCCACCCAGCCCTGGGTGTCAGTCAGTGAGCCCTGTCCCGACATCCTCTGTGGTGTGCTGTTGTTGTTGATACCACACTGACCCTGAACTTTTCAAAGCTGCTTTGGCAGACTCCCCGGCCAACCCTCGGGGGAAGGGAAAGGAGGCTCAATAAGGGATAAATGGGAGGAGGGTGGAGGAGAGGTGTTCCAGGCTCAGTCAGAGATTGAGTGGTGCAAATGGGGGCTGTCGAGGAGGCGTGGCCCAGCTGCGGTGACCACCACCAAGTGTGGTTAGTGTGAAGAAGGTGTAAGCGGGCATGGGCTGATCCCTAATGGTTGATGGGAAAGTTGCAGAGAAGTTTAAACGTGTGCTTCTCCCCAGGTAAAACTCTACATTGACTTACAAAACTGTTCCCAGCTGCTGCTGCTAAGGGCCGGCATCTGCGGCCGGCCGTTTGTCACATCACCAGGGCAGGAAGTATGACCTGGTTCCCTTTGCTTTCTTGGTGCTGGTTTATAAAAGGCAGTAATAATTACTACAAGGACGAGTTCACCAAACGTTGCCGTGGTTATTTTCAGTGTGCTCTTGAAGCTGTTAACTCTTGACCTGCCGTAAGTCGCACTGTGGTTTCAAGCTCATGATGGTTATGGCCCATCACCCTTGACAGACAGCAAGTTCCTCACGGGCAAGCACAGAACTCCCCAGAGCTGCAACCTTGCAGAGCTCCCCAGAGCTACACCCTTGCACCTCTGCCCATTTTTCATTTTGAACACCAAAGGTTACTATTTTTGGAAATCTACATGAAAGGGTAGCCCTTATCCAAGCACCATTCTTCACGCCGTTAGATGAAGCCTCTGATGGCCACACTTGTGTAAGGATGCTATTTCCAGATGTTTCTTTCTCCTTCTGTTCTAGGTCACATACTGTCTGTCATGCATTTGACTCCCCGGTACACACACAAGCACATAGACAAGCACACCTTCCTCAGAGTCGGGAGCGTCCTGTTGAGCTTAGCCCCTTCTCTGTCTAGCCTACATTGTGAATCACTCCCTGATGCTGACCCTACTTTTTTTCCCCATTCGTTCTCTCTAAATTTGGATCTTTTAAAATTGTTTACTAACACTTGTGTGTGTGTGTGTGTGTGTGTGTGTGTGTGTGTATACCTGTGTAAGTTTTCATGCAACACATAAGACCAGGTATTGTCGGAGGTCAGAAGAGGACACTTGATCCTCTGGAGCTGGAGTTAGATGGGTGTGAGCTTCCTGCTACGGGAGCTGGGACACAAACCCTGGTCCTTTGCAAAAGTGATGTGTGTGAGCCGGGCGGTGGTGGCGCACACCTTTAATCCCAGCACTCGGGACGCAGAGGCAGGCGGATCTCTGTGAGTTCGAGGCTGGGCTGGACCGATAGCCTCTGAAACAATACAGAGAAACCCTGTCTCGTAAAAACCAAAAAAAAAAAAAAAGTGATGTGTGTGTCTGCTGAGACATGACTGCAGCCTCTGAGTGTGTGTATCTGCTGCTGCAACCCCTGAGTGTGTGTCTGCATGTCTGCTGAGACATGGCTGCAGCCTCTGAGTGTGTGTGTCTGCTGAGACATGGCTGCAGCCTCTGAGTGTGTGTATCTGCTGCTGCAACCCCTGAGTGTGTGTCTACGTGTCTGTTGAGACATCGTTGCAGGCCTGAGTATGTGTATCTGCTGCTGCAGCCCCTGAGTGTGTGTCTGCATGTCTGCTGAGACATGGCTGCAGCCCCTGAGTTTAGATCTTGCCAACCGTCTGTGTTCACTGTTCCAACTTCGTATAAACAGTTGGGTGTTACTAGACAAAAACAGATAAATATTCACAGGAGTCAGGGACAGTGCAGATGCATCCTTGTCCTCAGATGGACTGGTAGCTGCTGCCAGCCTCTTTACCGGCTTCTGGCATGTTTCCCATGTCATTGGGAGAAGTTATTACAGACATTTACCCATCCCCAAGCTTCCTCCCTTTATCCTCACTCAGCTCTACTGGGGACAAGGGGACTCTATCCCACGCTGCACAGAAGCAGAGAGCTGGGGCAGGTTCCGTGTGACCCACACGTTTCTTCAGCTCCTCATCAACCTCCACCTCTTTTCCTTCTTACTTGAGAGAAGGAAGTTACCTTCTCCTGTCCAAGATTGACACTTATTCTTCAAGGTTATATGAGTGTGTACGTGTGCTGACGTGTGTGTGTGTGTGTGTGTGTGTGTGTGTGTGTGTGTGTGTGTGTGTGTGTGTGTGTAGGCCAGAGGACAACTTCCATGAACCTCTCATCCTGGTTTTTTGGTTTTTTTTTAATACAGGTCATTCATGGCCTGGACTTTCCTTAAATCTGCTAGTCTCCAGCCAGCAAGCCCCAAAGATCAGACTGGCTCTACTTTCCCAGCACAGAGATTACAAGTGTGCTCAGATTCGTCCTCTGTGTTCTGGAAATCAAACCCAGGTCCTTGTACAAGGCAATGACTGAGCTCTCTCTCCATCCCATGCCCCCCCAGCCCATGTCTTCTCTGGCCATCTCTGCCCAGTGCATCTTTCCCAAGACCGTCTTTCCTGTAATTTTATTCTGACCTTTAGCAGAGCCTCAGCTGCTTACTCTTCCCCCCATCTATTTTGTCCATTCGTCTCAGACGATGTATAAACGCATGCATCTCGTTTGGCTAACAAACGACTTTCGATACACCTTTACGCCCTTTTATTCTTCTGTTGGTAGCACAACGCCTCCACACCGCTTTTCCTCCTGTAGCTGAATTCCCCCAGAGGTGATTTACCCTGGCAGTTTTGATTAAAGTCATCTGTTCACAGGGTTGTCAAATAAATACCACATTCAAGATACAGTTTGTGGATTATTCTAACACTTAAATGCTGGTCTATTTAGCGTCTTTCTTCTACATTGACGTGTTGACTTACTCAATAAGGACATATATTGTGGGTGAGTGGGTGGACCCGGTGTGTGGCCGTGGCCAATGACAGGAGATAATCAGTTTGCACACGGTTGAATTTCTCATAGGGAGCAAGGACTGTGGGGACAGGTGCTGGGAACTGGGTGGCTAGCGCAGAGTTCTTCAAGAGATGGTGCATCACAAAGTCAGAATCCACAGCGGTTCTTTATCAGGATTCCGGGAAGCCCCGGAAGGCAGGATCCTGATAAGGGTCAGCGAGGAGCAAACACAGACAGATGTTAGAGGATTCCCTCCTCCCATCCTGGCTTGAGGCCAGACCTCTTAGGAGTTAGTGAACTTTGGTTCAGCTCCATGAGAGGAAAGTGTGATTAGATGTGCCCTGGATTGGTGGAGTAATAGTACTGTGACTGGCAATACTTCGAGGGGACAAGAGGACCTCTGGCTACTGGCAGGTGACCCCCCAGGGGTGTCCATGTCACCCACTTTTGGACATGGAGAACAGGGAACTCATGATGAAGCAGCCACCAGAGACTCCGAACCTCATCCAGAGATTGTCTTAATGTCTCAGAAGCTCCACTCAGGACTGAGCAAATAGTAAGTCATCCTGATTGAAAACAATGCCATTCCCCCATTCACCCCCCCACCCCTGAAATCCCAGAGTGAAAACTGAAAACTGAAACAAAATCCCAGAATGTAAAATCTAGCTAGTCATGGCAACTGGAACTTTTAAATGATGGAAATTTCAGACAGGGCTTCCTAATGCTTCATTGTAAGTTTCCAAAACTGCTAACCACAGGAGGCAACTGGTTTTCTAGAGATTATCTGTATGAGTGTTTTGCCTGCACGCATGTATGTGCGCTACATGCACGCAATGCCCAAGAAAGTGAGAAGAGGACACTGGATCCTCTGGAACTGGTACAGGCAGTTGTGAGCTGCCATGTGGGAGCTGGGAACCCAATCCGGGTCCTCTGGAAGAGTGGCCGGGGCTCTTAAGTGCTGTGAGCCCTTTCCAGCCATGAGATAATTGTTTAGTATCTTCATCTCTGAAATGTAAATCCCTCGACTACTGTTTCCTCATATGTAGGTTTGTGGGGAAGCTTAGAAAATTTGTTTAAACGGAAGGTTTGATTTCCCACTAGACGAAAGATTTTTGTGCTCTGGTAACAACAGCAAAGAAGATTGCTGTTACAGGAAGGAGTCCAGGACCAGTGCGGGAGGGCAGTCCCATGAGTAAGCTGCCTGCCACACGATCATGAAGACCCCAGTACTTACGAATTTAAAAATGGGCATGGTAGTGCACACTTTGAATCCCAGGGTTGGGGAGGTGGAAACAGCTACCTTGCTAGAGCCTCCGTGTGAGTCACTCTAGCCAAATTAGTGAACTCCAAGTTCAGTGAGAAACCCTGTCTCAAAAAAACTAGGTGGAGAAACCCTGTCTGGTAACCCCCCCCAAAAAAAGACACCTGCTGTTGACCTCTGACCACTGCATGCACGAGCATACACGCACGCACACACACACACACACACACACACACTCACACGAGAGCTCCAAATGCATGCCCACAGAATGGTTTTTCAAAGGAGAGGATCCTTTTGTTTTTCTCAGTTACTTCCTGACTGTGCTGTGCCTCTCAGAGCCACCAGCCTGGCATTACACCCTTTGAAGTGCAGGAATCTGAGTCCTAGCTGAGTTTAAACAAGAACAGCCTAAGGCATCATTTACCAGAGAGACAGTATTGCGAACAGTTTTGGGTAGCCTTGCCTCGTGTTTTTCAACCGTGAAAAGAGAAATCACTTTAAGTGGAGAAATGACTCGTTTTCATGTAGAGAACATAAAGTGTGTAGATGATCTGGTTAAGGACGCGCCTAGGGAAAAATTCTGAAGCTAGAATTCTAGTCAAACTGCCATGCGTCTCAGCTGCCATCGTGATGTCTGGGAAAGCCACATTGCAGGGAGCACACTCCACACACCGCAGAACACTGAGGACAGTTCCGTGGGGACACTGCTTGCCACCCAAGCGTGATGGCACCAAGGTTGTTCATCCATCGTGCAGCCCCCGAGGCTTGTTTGCACTCTGCCTCGCCTGGTCTGTATTCATTGGGATTTTACCCAAGAAAGCGTAACGGGAAAAGGGTAGAGTGTTGCTGGAGTTTTCTCATCCCACCAGGTTCAGCTGCCGTTCAGCCCCAAATAATCACACAAAGACTTGTGTCAACTATTAAACTGTTGGCTAATGGCTTAGGCTCCTTATTGGCTAGCTCCGTCTTAATTATTAACGCATAACTACTAGTCTATGTATTTCTACATGGCCTTATCTTACCAGAGAATGCCTGGTGTGTCCCATCCTTCCAGTCTCTACATGGCATTCCCCCCTTGTGGTCTCTCTCTGCCTACCTTTCCCAGAATTCTCTTCGTCTCCTAGTCCTGCCTGTCTTCCTGCCTCTATTGGCCAAACAGCGCTTTATTCATCAACCAATAAGAGAAATACATATATACGTAAGGACATCCCCCATCGGTAGAGAAAGGGGATACAGGGGAAGGGAGAAGAAGAGGGTGGAAGCAGTTGATTTTGCATAAATCACATTAACATTTTTCAAAAATATAAGTGAGAGGTTAGGCTATGGAAGAGGAAAAAGCTATTGGCTACTATTAGCATTATTATTTTTCCCCAGTTCTGGGTCTTGAACCCAGAGCCTGTGCAATCGTAGCAAGCGTTGTCCTCAATCTTTAAAGCTGTGCTCTTGAACACACTGCCAGGGACCCCATTTAGCCATGCTAACCGCTTATGCTTCATTAGCTGAGTTACGCAAGATTGGCGGGTTAGCCTGTTTTATCTCACCAAATGAAGCAACAGGCCGACTTTCCCGGGACAGAGGCCTTCTGAAACCAGTGAGCTTATGCCACGGACCGAGGCCAAGAGCCTGAGGAACTTTGTGAGCGATGTAGCAATGAACGGAGCCAAATCGTTTAGAGATGGAATTGGAGACCTTTGGCCCGAGCCAGACATTTAGGTCCTCGACCCAAATCTCACTCACCATATTCCAACTGGATTGAACCTGGGTAGGGGAAGCCAGGATGAGTCCTGCTGCATATAAACCCCAATGATCTTTTGTAGATTACTGCTCTGTGCAAATGAGCCATCTAGCTGTGACTCTGGCCTTCACAAGAGCCTTCTTAAAGCGTTCTTTACTAGAACAGACTATTGCAAAATGCCTTTATGGGCAAATGAGGACAGACACTTCCCAGGCATGGCTCACCCCCACCCCCCCAATTCCACTGGCATTTTTTTAAAGACTGAAAACTGGGATATAGAGACATTGCTTGTTTTCTAGCAGCCATTATAGTAGGAAGTCAATGTAGGAATGGCTGCCTGGAGTTTTCTCCTACACCTAGAAACTTCACAAGGCAGAGAAGCAATAGATATGGTTTCTTGGTGGGAGACAAGAGTGCAACTGTGGTACCTAGTTCACACGCGTGTGTAGACTGGGCTCCACAGGACACTGCTGGTCTCACATCACGGATAGATCACCACACACAGTCACCAGCTTTTAACCAACTGCACACCAATTGCAACGAGCCGGAAACATCCAACACCGCACTCTCTCCAGAAAACGGATGCTCACTCACCATGAGCAGAAAGCTACGAAGGGAAGGAGAGCAAAGCCAGATGTGGCGGCACACATCTGTGTTCCTATTCACTCATTGTTTTAGGGACCCCAAAAAGTAGCTACCAGCCCCTTCCACGATGCATGCTGAAGGTCCAGCCAGACTTCCTAACCTTCCGACGGTGGATTCAGGCTCCACGTGGATGTCTAGAGAGAGATACTTGATGTAGGGAACTACTCCTTTCTTCAATCCCCAAGACATCCCTAAGCTTACATGAATATTTAATGAAAGGATCCACCCATCTGCCTGCCCATTAGCGCCATTAATGTTCACAAAATATCCAGGGCTGTAATCCACCCATCCGTCTATCCACCAGCTCCATACAAAGGATTGAGAATGTTGGAATTTCCTGAGAAAGTACGTTGTGTTTTTCCTCTTATTAGGTCCATGCATAAGAAGAAAGCGCTTGTTCTAACATTCCAGGCATTGCATGTGTTTTTGTGTCTGGGTATATATATGCATATGTGAATGTGTCTATACATGTATGTGTGTGTGTGTGTGTCTTTGTGGGTATATGTGTAAATGTGTATATGTATGTGTGTATATAAGGAGTGTATGTGTGTATGTAAATGTGGGGTGTATGTGAATGTATGTACACATGTATGCATGGGCTTGCTTTCTTTTTATTTGCCTTGAGACAGGGTCACATTTTGTAGCCCAGACTGAGCTCAAACTACCGTCTCCTCCCACCCTCCTAAGAAATAAACTAGAGGTGTGCACTGCTGCATGCAACTAGCATACATTCTCCTGTAAAGCCTTGTCTATCCAGCCTATTGCCTTTAACCTCCATCAATTCCTAACCATCTACAAAACATTGAACCACATTTTTACTCAGTCTTTATTTTACTTGTAATTTTAAAAATACCTACTACCTAGGAACCGACGCCATTAGATTAGTCTTTTAAAACTTGTATTTAAAAATCATTCATTAAAATTAGATTTTCTGCATCTGGGAGCATGCTCATTCATTCTGTGTGCTCCTTGACTCCTGTAACCCTACCATCCAAGGGACTCAGGCAAGACAATTGCTTTGAGTTCCAGGTCAACCTAGGGTACAAAGTGAGACCCTGTTTCAGAAATCAAATTGATCACAGATACACACACAGTATTTTTCTTTAAGTATTACATAGTTTCATTATTTCCCATGAGCTGAATTGGTGTAGAGTTCCTCCAAAATACTGTTCGGTCAACAGTACCTGTGTTTATCTTATTACTATTCATATATCAAGTACTAAAAGTGTTGTACTTTTGTGCTGAACACGCAACTTTTAACTCCAATAGAATATTAACTCAGAGCCTACACCACTTCAGCATTTTAGAGGAAGTTTTACAGAGAACTATGTCCTAACATGAACTATTGCAGAGATTTGAAAAATGATAAGGATGATAACACGTGCCATTGTGAATGTACAAAGGTCAAAACATCTCCAACAGGCAAATCCTCCTCTGTGAGGACCTTATATAACTCCACCAGGATAATTACCTATCCAGGGCACAGAAACCAATTTGAATCTGTGTTTCCTGGGGGAGAGCAGGTCAAGCTTAGAATAAAGACGTAAAGTGAGGCTGTTTCCGCCTTCCTACACCCCATTTGTGGCCAGGGAGCTGTGCTCCTGAGCCTCTCCCACGCTGCCTAGAATTAGCCGCACAGGCCGAAGACCCCGGGGTGAAGGTCAATCTTGGGAGCGGAAGGTCTTAACGTTGGTTGACATTTTCTGCTGTCCTCCTCCGACCCTCAAAGTTTATGCTGCTCGGTTAAAACTCTCTTCTGGCTTTTAAAAAGAAAAACCTTTCCTGTGGGTTAAGTACTCAGTGCAAATGGAACAGGGTGGTGCCAACCCGGCCGAGGCCCCACAGACTGTTAATCAGCCCTCAGGAACCTATCCCAATGGGATTCCCACTACCCTCATCCTTCGATCTCCCTCTT